AAGAAGTGTATTAGATAATATAAATTTGTCCTAATGATGATAATTAGATCAAAGGGATCAATATTAATTTATATTAAGATTTATAAATTAAAAGATATTTAAGTTATTCGACAGTTATTGGTTAGAATGGTCATAAATTAGGTTCATAATTTTCTTGAATAGACGTCTATTTGTAGAGGCCTATTTAGTAAATTCCCAAGAAAGATCCATAACTCCTAGGGATTTATTAATTTTGCCAAACCAGCTATTTTTAAATGGAAGATTCTTCAATGAAAACTTTTTCGACTGCTTTGTAGATTAGGTTATTAGGGGCTTGTTCTAAGGATATGTCCCATTAATTCAATTTTTCGGTATTCAATTAAATTGTAAACTGGAAGATTATATCTAGCACAAAGAACTCTGTTAGAAGTGTTTAACGGATAAAAGGTTTTTGGTTATATATCTTAGGCATTTGTTGATAAAAGATTTGTATCTTCATTTTATGTGAAATAGCACAGTAGACCATGTTTCTGCTCCATAGAAAAGTGAGGAAAGTATTAAAATTTTAAATAATTAAATTTTTTAAACGGATTGGATAATTGGTTGGAGTACCAAATTTTCATAAGTGGACGATATTTGAATTTATCATTATTTAGTTTGCCTATTATATCTAATTTTGTTTGACCCTTTATTATCAAGGATTACTCCCTAAATATCTCATGTAAGTTACTTCAGTAATATATAACATTATTAATTAATTTATCACGGGTTAATATACTGGCAGATGTTGGTACTTTTGTAATTTTTCAACATTTGGATATAAGCCGAAAAAAAATTCTAGGTTCGATGATAAAAAATATTGACTAAGTATCGAACTTTGGGCATAGATGTTGCAGCTAAACATATGTGTCGTGTCTGCAAAGGCTAGAATAATTATATATTCAACTATCAATACTTCGGGCAACAAAGAAGAAAAAAACTATTTGTAATCAAATTGATTAGAAGTTTTATTAAATGGGTAGGAGTTACTATCTCCTTTAAAGCTGTCCTCCATAATCTCGAATAAATTTATAGAATCGAGTGCTCTTTTAAAGTCTAAGGGCAACAATAAAAAAGATACCTGCGGGCCCAATCCTAAGCCCGGACCGGAAAAACCGGGCCGGGCCGTGAAAACCGTACCTCTGAAGATCTCTGATTTATATATATATCTTTACTCAGGAAGAAATAATGATATAAACGAAACGAGGAAAATGGAAATAGGCAGGACGATTCGACTCTAACTTATGAAGACTTTACCCGAGTCTCAGAAACTTCCTTCCCCCCCCCCTCCATATCTGATTTAAAAATATTTAATGTTCTGAATATATCATGATGGACGGGTGTGTCACTTCAACACTAAACGATTTGATTGGCGTTCTTTTTACTAAACCCTTAAGCTTATATAATTTATCTTTATATTTAGCGATACGTAGTAAATTAGGATAAAAAAAATAATTACGTATCATTTTTATTTTGAAATTGGAAATAGAATACGCATGCGCTCTATCCCCCTCATTTTTTATTTTTATCCCACATAAAGGTTGACCTAAAAAATCTCAAATTTATCACATTTGATTTAGGCCATCAAACTTCGTTTCACTCGTCGTTCGTCATAAATAATGAAGATATAAACAATTTTAATTGGTGGGGTAAATTATTCCACTCACGGGAATTCAATATTATAAAAAAAAATTTTTTTAAATTAAAGAAAACCTATATGAATTCTAATTGGTGAATATTATTTTTATTTTATTTTGAATAATATTATTTATTATGAAAAAATCAAAATAACTCGTAATACGTGTTACGTATAATAGGCATAAAGGGGGCAGGACCACACACACCCCGCTCCTTAAAAATTTGCTTGTTCTAGTAAATATATATTTTTTAGCTTATGCTAAAGGTTTTACCCGACATCTTCTCCCCCATTATAATTTGAAAGAAAAATAAAGTGAGGGGTATGCTGACTATAACAAAAGACTCACGCTTAAACTATAAGTGGTGCAGGTCTAGTCATAACCCTAACCCTATACTTTAATTAAATCTTCTTCCAGTCCTACCAAGGCTTATTTCCCAAATAAAAAAAACGTATTTTAACATCATAAAATTCTTGATGCCTCAAAGATTAGTGCATCTTTCTGGTGGTTTCAAGCTACCTCCCACTTCATTGAAGGAATTGGAAATTGGTCTCCAATTACCTATTCGATTGCGGATTCATCTCATGCTAGGCAGTACTGCTATCCTCGCCTTTCATTTCTTTTTTCTAGATATTTTACTTGATTGGCTTTGGGCTATCAGTATAAACGTTAATTCAATCACATTATACAAATGTGCCAGATGTCACAAACCCAATAGTGGCGGCGATACTTAATTTTTAAAAAATATATGGACATGTCAAATCAAATCACTATTAATTCGTTCTCATCATGACAATTCTTGCGACTTTTGGTAAGCCATGACCTAATAAAGAGAAAACTGGGCAGCATCATTTTCGTCAGAACAAAGGACCCAAAAGAAGGATTCTATAACTTGTAATCCAAGTTATCAAACCCAATATTTCCCTCTTGACTCTATTTATTTAGATCTCTCCTATTCCCCCCCCCCTTCTTTAAATATAATAAATTTTCTTAATTTTTTTTTATGTATATCACTATTTTACACTTTCTATATTTTGTTTTATTCGTCAATTTACACCTTTAAATTCTTGTTAATTTATACTTTTAATAAAAAACTTATTTAAAAATAGTAATATATCCAAGGGACAGTAATAAGTGAACATAAAGACTCAATAAAATTTATAGGCAACACCCTACCTAATATCCTCCCCCCCCCCCATCTCTTAGCAAAATATATATTATAAATAAAACCCAGATAAAGTATAATAATCTATAAAAGTTAAATATTAATTATTTGAAACTATGTATTAGAAATAAGTTCCCAAAAAGGAACCATTAATTAATATTTCGATTTGCATAAAATTGTACATCGTTTTTTTTAAATAGACCTAAAAGTAGGTATTGTAGATGATGTTCACATAGTCTTCTGCAATTTCTTGCTCCTTATGATCATGATATGAAGAAAAACGAATTTTATTTCAAAGTAAAAGCTTCATAATCAGTTCTAACTCAAAAACCTAGTTTTTTTTCTTTTAACACCCATAATTTGCAGTGTATTAGTATTTATTTTTGCCTATGCTTATCTATTTGCTCTATCCTATATTTCAGATATTGTTGTTAGTAGTGTGTGCTTTAAATTTTAAAATTAGCTTTACCCCAGGAAATTATATCTAATAGAAATAAGTAAGTAAAATCAACTTTTGGGTTAATTAGCCTTACATAATAAAAAATAAATTATACTAAAGGAAAAAATTATGTTTCTTCCATACGATAACTTCTATTTCTTATCTTCTTCTCATGCCTAAATATTTATTTTAACCAATCCTTTATTTTAACCAATCCTGGCTTATTTACACCTTGACATATCCCTTATTATCTACTAAACCTTACTTTTTAATTCTTTTTGGGTCGTAACTCTCCCCTAATTCTTTTCCTTTCCTCTATTCACACCAATTTTGCCAAAACATCTCTTTGAGATAATTTATCATCTCTTCCTATGTGCACGAAATCATTTTTAATTTTATCAAAACTCCTCAAGCAGTATTTTTATAAATATCTAACCTATAAATTTCAGAAATTTTGCGCTGAATATTTGACCTTTTTCTAATTTATACGAAAATTCTATATTATATCAAAAAATTAATTAGTATATATGAGTTAAGAGTAGTTTGAAAGGTCATGGCAAAATATGAATCCAGGGTAGGCATACTCTACACAGGATGGAATACGATTCCATCAAAATCAGATCCATAAATTTTTGAAACTAAGAGCAATGAAGAATAGCTTCCCTATCACCTAAAACCTTGCTACATCTACTCTTATAAAGTATCTGTATCAGTTATATTGCATATAATAAGGATAATATTCTAAAAAAGGAAATTCAGCTTTTTAAAAGGGATCGCTTTGCCTGCGTATTTGTTAGTTGTTTTATTAATGAACAATTGTAAAACTTCTCCAATTCCCATTCATATTTGAATACATTCCAAGTTTTTTGATCACTTTGTATCTTCGAATTTGGAGATTGGAGAGAGAAAAACGAAAATATATAGATAAATAAATACGCGATCACAATCAATAGGCATAATACTTTTGATGGATTTATAATTTTATAAAGTATAGCTATAGATATATATATATACTTTTTACAACTCTTTATTAAAAAAAGAGGCGAATAAAAAATCAATATAATATTCGTTATATCTTAGTTGAATAGTCGAGTTCCCATTGGTCCATAAAAATTATTGGAGGGTTGGAGGATTATGATTGGTCCGATTCGGGTTTCATTTAAGAAATGATGCTTTTTGATAAAAAAAAATACAATATTGTTTTTTTATTCCTAAATATATCTTTCTCCTTCCATCCTTTCTTTCCTGAACCAACGAGAATTTTTCCATTTAATTTTATTAACAAAATCTTGCTTGAATTATTTTAAATATTCTAAAAATTTGTTTCCGGTCATGTAAAGATGAGGCAGATCTTTATATGATTTATATCTTATTAATAGTTATAAAAAATATACTTTAAAAAAAATATCAATAATTTTTTTAATATTTTACAGCGTGGTGTTAATTTGTCACGAAACAAATAAAACCCGATATTTAACCAATCAAAATAAGTCATATATATAAGGAAAAAAATTCAAATAATTAATATATCCATTTGTAAACAAACTTATTTTCCCAAAAAATCAAAGCCCATAACATTTTTCTTACTATAGCAGCGATTTTTAATTCCCAGAGGAAATTGTGGTGAGTATATGAGATTATCATTTTCAATCGCTTTTATTTTAACATAAAATATTTACCTATGTAAATATTATATGACAATTATATTTTTTACTTGTATTTTATATAATTATTTATTAAGACGCCGAAATAATTAAAAACAACTATACATCGGAGAAAAACAACCAAATATTAATTTATCCACGCAAAAAAATGCAATGATAATCTTAATAGACCGAGATAAAAAGTTTTGAAAGAAGCTTCCAAAATTTTCCAGAAAACTTTCATTTTTTTCAAAAAAAAAGAATGTCTGGCTTATTCAAAAGGTGTCAATGCTTAGGCAAAGATGACTTTTCCAACAATCCAAATTGCGAAGACTCCTCTCAATTGGAACTTCAGCATCAGGGATTGGACGACTTACCTTCCTACTATTTGCTTTACGATAAGGTGCTAGAAGGATTACACCTAGAGACAAATAATATCTGCGAAATTCCTAAGCTATTGGCCTACTTCTCCAATCTCAAATACCTCAATTTAAGCGAAAACGAGATTAGTGCCATCAACTCAACTCTATCCGAATTACTCAACTTGAAAGAAATGGACGTCAGCAAAAATAGTAAAACAATTTTCTTTTATTTTTTTTAAAATATAACGATTCTTTGTAAAGTTTTCGTGTAGAAATGATTCATGAAATAGATAAATTAAAATAAAATTTGTTACGAGATACATTTAATTTTGTTCAGAGACTTGAGGGAGTCAGCACCGGAAGATAAAACTTCCAAGCAGGGTCAGCAATCCCTAAATCTGGTAGAGAAACCTTATCGAGCGGGTTCCAACTATAAAAATAAATTTAAATTAGTTAGCCTGTAAAAGTAAAGTAATCACATAATAAATTGTAAAGAAAGAAAGAAAGAAAGAAAGAAAGAAAGAAAGAAAGAAAGAAAGAAAGAAAGAAAGAAAGAAAGAAAGAAAGAAAGAAAGAAAGAAAGAAAGAAAGAAAGAAAGAAAGAAAGAAAGAAAGAAAGAAAGAAAGAAAGAAAGAAATATATTTAATAATAAATTTTTTAAACATCTGGATCAGGTTGTTAATAATATAATCCAAATATAAGTTCCTCGAAAACATGAAAATCATGTGACACTACTTCACATTTGTTGTAGAAATAACGGAGTATCGTTTAAAATATCTCTATTCTACGTTTACCAACATCATTTTTTAAAAAAAAATAATTGAGGAAAATGCATTGATAAACAAAGGGAAAAGGGAAGCCGCGGGAAATTCTCACAAAATTGTGTTATTTGTTAAATGTTTTTAAGGAAAGGGGATCTAAAACTGTCCAATAGAATTTGGGGAGAAAAAAAGCCGCCAAATGCCCACCCACCTCCCATTTGACGAAAATCCGGAATATTCCTAAATCCTTCCAAAAGTCATTTCAAATCTTTAGTTTAAAAAAAAATAATTACCATATTTAAGATATCTCCTCAATACACGACTCATTCCGACGTTGCGAAAATCTGGAGATCATCAACTTGTGCGTCAACCCTTTGAGAACAGTGCCGACATGCCTCACTCAGCTAACCAATCTCACTCAAATTTTCTTAAACGAAACTCAGCTGGAAGAATTGCCAGAGGCTTTTGGAAAGTTTATATTTGATCTCTCTTTTTTTTTTTCATATTCCATTCCTGCTCTTCCTTTTACATTTATTTTAATTTATAAGAGTATCGAAAACTACCGAGAATAAAAAAAAAATCGGCTCAATATTCCGTTATCTCGGAATTGGAGCTCCCAGAACCGCCAAAATCTAAAGAGTCGCCATCTTAAAATTAATCAGAACTTCTTTTAAGACTAAAGCGATTCTAAACAAAATAAAAATGATCTTTTTGCGATTTCATTGGGGAACTGGAAGAGAAATAAATCTTAGAAACCAGAAATTTAAAAAAATTTATGAACCGGAAATGGAACTGCATTTTTAAAAATATAACTGGGTTTCCGAGTTCCAAACTCAAATAAATTGATTATTATCATTTTATTGTAGTATATTATATATTGTATATTATTGCTCATTATAATATCGTATCATTTTTTTTTCTTCCCTAGTTTGTGCAAACTTAAAATACTGGAACTCAGAGAAAACAATTTAACTATTCTTCCAAAATCCTTGTGTTTGATGTCCAATCTGCAGAGGCTCGACATAGGAAACAATAATTTCAAGGAATTGGTATGTTAATTGTTCTGCAACCCATTTTAAAACCTAATTTAGAAATCTCTTAATTTCATACGCCTCGTAAGTAATATTTTAAAATTGAGAAGAGGTGGGGGGATTAACATCTATTCTCTTGTCAATTACCGAGGAACCAGTAACCGAGAAACCGGTAACCGAGAAACCGGTTACAGAGGATGCGTTTACTTATCTTATTAAATAATAATGGTTTTTTTACTCTTTTTTTAAAAAATTGCTTTTAATTTTAAAATTTAGTAAAAAAATTGTCTAATAATTATTTATTAAAATATTTTTTGACATTTTTATTAAAAAAAAATTGATGAAATATTATTTGTATTTAATAAAAATATTAAAATAAATTATTAGTGGGGGGTCACTTACTTGCAGACTCCAATGCCCACTTCATAAATTACTCATTGATGACAATGGATTTTTTAATATAAATTAAAAGTGCTAATAAGTCCACTAGTTTAACTCTTTTTAATAGAAAAAGTATTTTTTATAATGCTTAATGAAAATCTTCATTACTCATTTGAAAGAAAAGAAAGGTAACATAAGATAAAGGATTAATTTTTAATGAGATACTTTATAGATGAAAAGTTTCTTTTATTGTATCAAAAGAATTTTTATAGATACATTAATTAAAAAAAAATTAAGACTCTATGCTATATATTCTATATAACAAGATTTATACTACATTATTATATTCATCAAATTTTAAACAAAAAAAGCCTGATGTAATTGGTACACTTTTTACGCTCAAAGAACTTTGGTGCGATATGAATGAATTGAATATATTGCCTTCGGTAACATGCTTAATAATTTATAAGATCAACAATATAATGTTCTATTCTAATAAAAAAAAACTGTTATAAATAAACTAATAAAATATATTTATTGTTTGAGCTTAATAAATTAATTATTAACCAGCCAGGCCACATAATATTGATTTTAAACATTTTCAGTGATATCATATTTTTGATAATCTTAAAATTTGCCTATAGTTTTTAAGGTGACCATAATTATTATATGATTTATCTTACAAGGAATAGAATTTTTTAAAAATAATATGTATAAAAAGTATTAGAAATTTATTTTTATTATTCTTCTTAAGGTTAAAAACTGCGTCTCAAATCCACCAGATTAGCCTAAAATTAAATATTTTCACACATTTTTTTTAATAAGAAAAACCTATTTTTTATTTTAAAATATATATATTATAGTTTATAGGGTGTTTAAAATCGTTGGACTGTCTCGACGCTTCGCGTAACAAAATTAATCACATTTCAGCTGATATTTCGGGGTGTACATTGCTTAGCGACATACATCTGAGCTTTAATCACTTGAAAGAAATTCCAGATTCACTAGGTAAAAATCCCTTAAAAAACATGAAATCTTAACAAAATTTAGTTTTTAATCTAATTCAATCCAATTCCATCCTGTGTTAAATATTCGTTTGAAATTGATAAATCAGTTATTTTATTATATTTCGACATTATTATTAATGATTTAAGTCAAAACTCAAGTAAATTTAACCACTCTCACTCTATTTTTAATCTAAGGTCTTTCCTGCTTTGTATATTATACATGGAATAATGTATAAGGCGGCTGACACATTATACAATTACATATATTATATATTACGACATAACTAGGGTTAGCATGATTTATTTTGTCACAAACATTTAATCATAAATTTCTAAAAGTTTATTCGTATCCAAGTAGTAACAAAAGTATCGAAATATCGTAAATCTTATATTAAAAATATATACATCTGAATTCACATATAATGTCAATCACTATATCACTGAATCATAAATAATGGGTAACTATCTAATTCAAAAACGTATGCACTTTATATTTATATCTATTTTTGTCAACAATTTAAATATGTTTAAATAAATAAAAATAATCAATCATTTTATAAGTTATGCAAAAAGCGATGTATGTCGTACTACATAAAAAAAATTTCTTCTTTTTCAAGAGGTTAAAAATATTGAACAAAATTATTTAGCGGCCCCTAAAATGGTCTAATTTTGGTAGCCTGGGGCGGCTGCTAGCTGCTCCCCTGTTTGCACGGTCCTGTCTGCCCATCATCTTTCTCTTTTAAAGTCGTAAATTTTTTCTGGTTTACAGAACTATTTCTATTCTCCCATGCTTACATACCTTAATAATATTGTCTATTAAGGAGTCAGATTCAAGATTATTGCAGGAATTACTTACATATACATTAAGGTTATAACTATAGCACCATATTTGCACACTGTTTGGAACTAACATGAGCCTGCAATAGTTTTTAAATTCGCTTCTCATATTTGCAGCCGATGTCAAATGATTTACATTTCTGAATTGCGTGTCATGTTTTTCAGAAAAATCACTAACTAAATCGTACAATCTTTCCTCGGATGAATTACTTTGATCTTTCGGTTATATTTCCAGTATATATATATATGTATACAAATAGGCTTCGAAACAAAATTAAAGTAATTCCTATGTTATGAGAAGTTTTACTTCTATGGCCAGTCCACCCCTACCTAACCCCAACTCTATATTTAATGTTAAATATCGAACATTTGCCAGATCTCAGCATATTATATTTTATTTATCAAACAGGTCTTCTAGCAAATCTTAACCTGTTAAAAATAGATTCCAATCAACTGACAACGTTACCGGAAAAATTTACGGGGAGTGATAGTAACATCAAGGAGATAATTCTCACTAATAATTGCCTTCCCAAAATCCCTTCTTGGCTAGGGAATCTTAGAAACCTTCACACTTTATATCTTGACGATAATCTGATAGAAGAATTGCCCATAGAATTGGGGGATTGCAGTTCATTGGCCATAATTTCCTGCAGGAATAATCGCTTAACTCAAGTGCCGGAAGAGATAGGCAAACTCCAAAATTTGAGGGTCCTCAATCTTTGCGACAACAAACTGACGTGGTTGCCCATGAGTATCTTGAAGTTAACCAATATTACTGCTCTGTGGCTCTCAAAGAATCAAGTAAAAGATTTATTTTTTTTAAAAAATTGTCAATAAATATTTATAGTTTAGCAGTTCTCTAATAAAAGAGTATACGAGCGTTTTAATTTTAATGAAATATACAATTTATTTGCTATTATTGATGTTGTTAAACGACTCGATTTTAGCCGAGTTCATAAAACGGTCAACTCAATAATTTTCTTCCATGTGTCACAACCGGAAGTTCTGACCCATAGATGTGGCACAAAGGTTCTAGCCGAATCTTGATGCCTTGAACAATCGTTTTCTGGTTAGAATATTGATTTAGGGCCTTTTTTAAAAAAATCTGATCTTAACTGCCATGACCCATGAAATAAAAATTTGAAATTTGTGAATACCAATTTTTACCTAATAAAAAAAAATCTATTCGTAGCTACCCAAAATGACAATAAAATAACCCTTACAAATTAACCGAATATTAAGTATTTTTTTTTACAGTTTAAGTACAATGCCCGAAGGGAAAGGCCAATTTAAATAATTAACCTCATCTGAAATTTTATTTTTCTTCAACTTTCTGACTATTACAAATTTTTTGTTTTGCTCATATAGAGAATATTTTATGTGTGCCTTCCCCAAAATAATAACTTCTACCCCCCCCCCTCCCCTCAGGTCACTTCCCCCCCCCCATCGCCTGAATAATAATTTTTTTATCCCTTACACACTACCGAAACTAAAATAATAGTTATCAGCGATAAACGATAGATAGCATAATATAGGCTAATGCTAGATATCGCATAGTCAACATATAGCAATTACTAAAACCGACGTAAGAATATACAATCACGGAGAGTCTGATCCTCTCGCGATTTCCGGTCTCCCCTATAATGATTTATTTTAAAAATTCAAACTTTGAAAACCAAAATAAACCGAAAATAACCGATCCACAAATTTTTAATTAACCGGGATCTGAACTATGCCTAATAGTTTGACACCCCTGGGCAAAATATTAACTTTATAACAATAATTTTAAAATCAAGTAATAAAAATGATAATTAAAAACGTCATATAAATAAGAAGATGAATTTATCACATAACAAGACATATGTTATATTGTAGCAAATAAATTGAGATCGCCAAGTAGATCATTGGCAACTGCGTCATCTGAATATTATAAAATTTATCCCAAGATTTCATTTTAAGAATATTATCCAAAATATATGCATAAGGACGAAGGGGGTCAGTTCGATATCTAAGAAAATGATGTTATCCACTAGAAAATTTAACTGAACGTGGTCTGTCCTGCGTTTTACTCCCCCCCCCACCCTCCTATTTAGATTCTACTGAGAATCCTGGGTCTATCTCACCGCCGCGGCAGAATTCGCGGTCCTAATTTCTTTACATTTAATTTAATATTCTTTCCTGCTTTTCTCCAATGATAAATCTAAATATTACAAACCTTAAAAAAAAATTTTTTTTAAAAAAAAGATATATCGCTGCCTGATTATTATATTGTTCTATGTGCTTTCGAAATTGAGTTAGGGCCGAAACATTATTCTCAGCTAATCCTATTACCTTCAAAAAAAATTATTTATGTTTTTCGTGTATAAAATGAGAGTCCATCATCTCCCTCTTTTTGGAATGTTCCAATTATTTTATACCACTATTTTATCACGTGATAATTAAAAAGAATTTAATTTAAGAATCGTTTGTTAATATAATATGTTAGCGTTAATTTTTTTTCCGGCATTCCAAACATGGCGGCATATACTTCCGGTAAAATCAGGTTTTTAAATTTTTAAGAATGGGCTCAAAAAAATTATTTTAAAGTTGAAAAAATAACACATTGTATTTTTTTTAACATAATATCAAATTTAGTCAATATTCAGGGCAGGGCTGATATAATAAAAAAATTCGAATTTCTAATAGATGTTCCAACCTTTATGCTAATCTTCAGGTTTAGGAGATGTTTTTTTTCAAATCTACTCAAATAAAGCGATTTTGGATCACTGTAGGATGCTACAACACCATACACAACAAACAATATGTTGAAATAATAATCATTTTTCTAGCTATTGCCAATGGAGATAGGAACCTTTAGCAACCCGTTTCCCCACTCTTATTATATTATCATTGACTACAGAGTTCTATCACCGCTTTTCTAAAATAACTTTTTTTGCAGTTCAAGAAAAGTTATAATATTTAATATAAACTCTTTAAGTTTAAATATATCTATAATTGTAAATATATTAGTTTTCGCCAGAAAGCATGGTGTTTTTTTATATGGCTCTCCTAACATAAAATTGGTATCGGGATGAACATAAAAACCATATAATTATTTTTTTTAAAGTCTTTTATCCGTTATTAAGCTTAAGTTATAGAGATTAATTTCCATTTTTATCAAATTAACTATATCCATATAATAAATAAAATAACTTTAAAAAAAAGTCGAATCCATTGATCCCATTGCAAATCGAATTTGATCTCAAGACGAACAAGAAGATGCTGACCTGTATATTGTTGCCTCAAAGGAATGACGAAGAAATTTCTATCGCTACGCCGGAGGAAAAGCGGAAAGTTAATTTAAAAATAAATAAATATTATATAAACTCATTTTTATATTCTTAAATCCATTTAAACTAATTAAAATTAAGCATTTTTTTTTAGGAATTGAAAAAAAAAATATCAAATAAATGTCAACGACACGTCCATTTCATTTTCTCTTTTTATTCTTCTTCGTCGTTTAGAAACCATTTTCCAGGTATACCCAGGTAGGCCATTTGGCCTTCTAATCTACTTTTCCCATTTTACGAGGACCCGGGGTCAAACCTATACTTTTTATGTCATTATCAAGCAATTCCATCCAACTTGACTTTGGTCGCCCCCTGGGATTTGGATCTCTCTATGTGGCATATATTTCACCAATCATCCTTTGTCCATCTCAGTCTACTTATTCTCAAGGCATCATCTATTGCTTATATCCCAATCATTTCTCTTAGTTCTTAGTTCCTGGCTTGTTTTATTTCTATAAAAGATACTCCGCATATACCTCTGATCATTCTCATATCCGTTCTTTCTAACTTGGTTTTGTGGTCGCCTTAATCGCCTATTTTTCATTGCCGTACATCATACAACTTCTTACACAGCTTACATAGAGTTATCCCTTCAAAGTTAGGGAGTTATTATCGATTAAAATTGAAGATATTTCTCTAAATTTCTTCAGGCATATTTTATCATTGCCACCACTGTCAAATCTCCATTATCAAATACATAAGGGTTTAAATCATTAATAAAACTATTCAGAAAGCACTCTATGAAATCTAATATTTCAACATAGCTCGAACAGAGTGATTCTTCAATTATTAACACTAAACCGGATGGGTATGCACTAATCCCATATGATGATAAAGGCAAACATACAAAAAACTCTATTTTGTTCCCTTTTCTTAGCAATTACTATTCACTTGGAATTTCCGAGAAAACGAAAAGGCCTAAAATATTGGCACATTTCTATTAATAATATATTCATCCATCACTTTCTGTTTTTTGGAAATGAAGCCAAATCTCTTTTTAAACTTATAGGTCAAAGAGGCCCCACATCACAATCTCAATATCATTTTAAAATAAACAAAAATTAGGCTCTAAAGTACTCTCAGCTTAATTTAAAATTATTCTAAGATTCATGGCCAGTAACTTATCAACCCTATAACTTTTATAATTACCTTTTTTTCTTTTTTTAAAATATTTTGTAATGTTTTTAAATATGTATTATTTTTTTTTAAATTTGTTTTATTTTAAAATATTTTTTGTATTCTATTTTAATATAGTTTTATATATAAATAAATTTTTTTTGCTAATGTGATTTTGAAGCAGTCTGAAATCAGAGAATAATAAATTCAAATGATATAGTTTAGATTAAACTGATTCTATAGTTGCGTCAAATATCATATTAATAAATCACAAATAAGTTTGTAATTTTATTATTATTTTTAATTTTCACTATCACCTCCATTTAAATAAGGCTGCATAAATCTCAAAACGTATTGTAAATGCTCAATTTGGGAAAATTATAAGAAGAGAATTTTGAGGATATTTCTAATAAAAAAAAATTATTTTATTTTTATCTCAACTAGGAAATAGTCAAATGTCAGAAATCAAGAACAGATGTAATGTCAGAAGTCACCTTTCAAGATAATAAAAGTTTTAGTTGTTTTAAATAAAATATAATAATTATCATTTAGTAATTCAGGGTGGGAGAGGGAGGGGGGGGGGGGGCTCGGGCTCAGAAATCATTCTATAATTCTTTAAAATTATAAATTGTGTCATCTAAATGCACATAAAATCTAGTGCCTTACATGTATATTTTGCTTAGACCACACTTCAATCAAACCCTTTTCCCCATCGGTGAATGGCAGAAATAAGATAGTGCAATCAACACCTCTTAAACCTAAATCCATACTTACGTTTCAAGAAAAATATAAGGACAATAAAATCTGCACTAGTAAATTATATAATCATATGCAACACCGCTTCAAACGAAAACTGTTTTTAATTTAGTATTAAGTGTCAGGATTTGGTTTTGACCCATTCAGAGTCGTTTTTAAAGTAACCCGAACCGGGCTCATAGTCGTAAAAAGTTGACTTAATCGAACCTTAGCATGATTTGCGAGTTTCGGCCTTGGTATATAGAAAGTTAAGATTTATAGAATCAATAGTTTAAACCGGGAAGGAAGACCTGATATCAATCATAAATGATAACATGGAGAAAAGGCAATTTTTGTAGATTCTAATTTGTTGTTTTTTTTTCATTTTCTTTTATTTTAGTGTCAACTCCTCGATTCCCAATCGAAACTAGCTTCGATAATAGTTCAAATTTCCCAGACAACGTTGGCAACATTGCGAACGTCGTTAAAATCCAAGAAAAGTCTAACAACATTGGAAAAACCAAGTGCTCAACCAAAGATCAATATCTTGCATTTGAAACAAAGGTTAGCATTACTGCTAGTTCGTTCCATAATAATTTTTAGGAATGGTTTTTTCCTATTCTTTGGCATATCATCATAGCTATTATCATATATTCTTATATAAATTTTAACCTATTCATATATTCAATTTTTCTAAAACCCGGTGACTTCTGCCTAATAAAATTAACGTTGCCACCAATTATTAATATATACTTTTTATTACGCGTTAAATTTGAAAGGTTCCTATAAATCAGACCAATAACGATTGCTTCGATAGTTCTGTTGCATGTGCCACGACAAATAGTTACAATTCTAATAGAACAACTGTCAATCAACCCATTCACCAAACAAACGGCAATAATCTTGGGCCCCTTTACAATTTGAGCAATTCTTCGGGTTATTCAAGCGACGGTGAAATAACTAGAATCATGAACGGGATGAACAAAAGGGAATGCAACTCCTGCAAATTCAAATGTCAAAGAGATAAGACGTGTGACCTTGATCATGCTAATACTGTTATTAGAAACTCTATAACGACCAACGAGATATCTGGCTATCAAAAGGAATTGCAAAGAAATAATATCAATGTCAACGACAGGATCATATACCCACCAAACAAAATTTATCATATGGATTCTAATAAATCTTTCATAATTCAAAAATTCTTAGACACCAATTTAGACGATTATGACGGGGACGTAATCCAAAATGGAGAACAAGGTGAATATCCAATGAGATACGTAAATGATCAATGCAATAATTCAACCGGTATTATAGATGACAACGATAAAACATTGACTCAAAATATGTACGATGGCCAAAGAGTCAATTATTCTAAAGCCACACGTCTAGGTAGCAAAACCTGCAATTACTATAACAACGTATCCAAACAGTACAGTAAAAATACCCAGTACAGACCCACCATTACCGGTATTTTAAGAGGGTACCATAGTGATTGCGAGCGCATGAGAGAGGACAAACTTAATCTAGCCTACAATAACTCGAAGAGGGATAGAAACAAGATTTCAAGTGAATGTGTCGAGTATCAAGGTTTGAATTGCGGAGACGTGAGGCACGGTTTTTACGATCTACAAACAAGATGCGAGGTCGATCGAGGTAAACGTGACATACCTAACATTCGCGACAGTAACGCCATTCAAACGACTTCGAATCAAGTAAGGGAATCGGATACATTTTATAAATAATTAACACTGATGTGTTAGCATTTCTATAGATTTCTATAAATATATACCAGAGACCTGCAGTGGTTCATTTCAGCCCCGCCCAGCCCAAATTATTTTCAAAAATTTGCGGCCCGGCCCGAGTTTTATATTTTAAGGCCCGGCCCAGTTAAAAAAATATTTCAAGCCCGGTCCGGGTTATTTTTAAATTTCAGCCTGGCCCGACCTGGGTATATTTTAATATAATACGGCCCGGCCCGGCCCAGCCCAGCCCTAAACCTTGGTTGGGCCAGGCTTAGGGTCGGGCCTGCAGGTCTTTGAAATATATTAAAATTTCGATATAAATCTATCCTTTTTTTTTGATGAATGTTTTAGGAGTGTATAAGAAACATCAAATTTATTTTTATAATAAATGAAAATTGCTAACAAAAATAATCTTTTGAAGTTAAGAAATGTTAATTACAGTAGATCCAAATACAGCTAGATTACTCAAGTAATAAAATGGTTAAATAAATAATACATATAAACTCCCTCCCGAGCAATAACGAATGAAACTTTATAAATTTTTATAAAGTTTTGTGATAATCATCCGACATCTGCCAACCAGCAAGAATGCGGTATTCATAGATCCAATTCCTTTAAAGAAGAAAAACTTGCCTTTGTAACGTTTCTAGGCCCGCAAACAAAAAATTACGATATCGCGTGCGGGTAAAAATTAACTTTATATCACAGTTTAGAATTTCCTAGTAACGGGTAAAATAAAATCTATGAATTGGTATCAGAACCTCTTTCTATAATTTTTGTAAACCAGAATCGGTTCTAACAACAAAAGTAGAGAGAGCCATAATTATATTATAGATAATTTGCTCAAAATTTTATATTATCTAATCTATTTTAAATGTTTAATTTTTCGAATATTTTTTTTAATATCGTTTATTAACACTTTTGGAATGGAATTCTCGCCTTAGAAATTTTCCGGGAACATTAGAATTTGTCTTTTGATATATATTCCGAACAGAAAATAATATTTCTTAGCCAGGGTTTTACAATTAGAAACTCTTTTCTTTTTTTTTTAATTTCACAGGATCAATAACTGTAGCTATTATGATGAAGATCGGAGGATCAATTCTCGTTCAGGTTTATAGAAAATGATTTTAATTTTCGGTTCTTTATATTTTATTTTTATAAGTGGCTTAAAAAAAACGCCGCGTTGCGAAATCTTTATATGTAACTCTTAAAACTTAAAACGCGTATATTTTATAAAAATTTAGTATTTTGTTTTAAGAATAATTGAGAAAAGAAAATGCTAATATTTGCCAAAAAATAAGTCAAGGCTCCTTAAAATGCATTCTCCACATAAACAGGCTAGATGGGTTCCCATTGTGATGGACCTGATAATTTACTTCCTGCTATCTACTATAAAATCCACTTAATAACCCCTTAACTAATTTAAATCCCCTCCTGGATTGTCGTGTGTAGAAACAATTAAAAGACTTTGGTTTATAAGATAAGTTACGACTTTTTAGATTTTTCGACAAACTTTAAAGGAAAATCAAAAAAAATTAAATTGTCATTCGATCAGCGGAAGAAGAGATTGTCAGCTGTTGTAGTGGGGAGGGCAAACAATACCCTGAAAATGCGGGAAAAAGCGTACCCTTTCCTGAAATATTTTAAAATTTAAAATTATTATAAAAAAGTTTTTATTTTAGAAAAACAAATAAGAAAATATGAATGAATTATTTATTAGTTGTGAATACGCATGCGTAGGCTATTTCATATTAATTTATAAATATTTAGTGGGGAATACGCATGCGTAGGCTATTTCATATTAATTTATAAATATTTAGTGGGGAATGCGCATGCGTAGGCTATTTCATTTAAGGAGCCAACCTGCTATATATTATCCTAAATCATATTACTATTAGAAAGCCGGACAAAATAAATTCCGAAAATAATTTTTTAAATAAATATTTTGATTTATTTTAAATGGTATAATAACTTATTCAAAAATTTAAGTGTTTTATTTTTTTTTATTGATCCAACCAAACATCATACGAGATATGTCGCATTAAAAATGAATAATTAAATCAAAATAACATCCATTGTGGTTAGAGAAATCAAAATGGTCGTCATAGATCTAATACTTGTAAGTCTTTAAGCTATTGACTGCCTTGATTCCGGCGGTGTTGAAAAAATCTTCCATAAATACTTTTAATCCTATTCATCGAATCGCATTTGTTTTTAGTACTTGAAGATAACCCAGACATTTTATGTTTTGAATAGGGACTTGACGCAGGGCCATTTTAGCGATCTGTATCGGCCTAATTTGTCCAATCCGACCCGATCCCGAACGTATTTTTTTTATTTGTTCAGAAAAGCTCTATCCGAAATAAAATAAAAATTACTTGTCTACCCGGCCCGGACCAAATTTATTTAATTGTAGAAAGAAGGGAGAAAAAAATCTTAGCGCCTTGTTTCTTGCGAGAATTTTAAAATATATCAGTTTATTTTGACGGTAAATGATATCTTATTTTAAAAATTTGAGCCCAAAAAAACATCGGACCCGAACGGGTCGAGTACGGGTGGGGCCCAATGACATATATAATACCTAGACTGACGATTCATTCATTAAAATGCGTTTTTAAGCGTCGTTAAAAGGAAATCAGCTGGACCCGCCATTTTGGTAACACATATAGTACAATTATTCTCATGTTAAAAACTACTATTTAATTGATAACTTGTTGCTTCCTTATTATCTCGATGATCCGTTAATTCTTTAATAAAGTTCGCATCAGATATAGGAATAAATTAGGCACTCGTTTAAAATTTTGATAAAGATTAGTGTAACCAAGATGGCGTCTCCAGCTGATTTGCATTGATGTACACTTTTAATGAATGAATCGTCAGTCTAGGTATTATATATGTCATTGGTCGGGCCATGATTTGCAGATCTCTACTTCCGGTAAAGCCAAACCTTTCTCTGATAAGTACAATTTCGATCGATTTTGATATACATGGCCCATTATCTTGTCGAAAAATAAAATCTTCTTTCGGCGGAAACCATATATTCGTCAAATCATCCAAATAATAAAATATCTTAATATTTAGTTAAATATATATAACTAATCAGGCAAAACACATGATAAAAAAAAACTTATTTTATTCAGACATCCCCCGTAACATAACATTTTCGGGAAGTTGTTTAAAACAGTCGGATAAGAAAATTATTTACAATTGAGTAGAGTAATCAATGGAACCATTTTATTGAAAATTATATGCACCCGTTTGGATTCATCTTAAGATCATATTTACTTAATAAAATGCAACCCATTTTGAGCAATAAATTTCTTGATAGTAATGCCACTGTCATGTGAATATTCTATTTTCCATCAAAATATTTTTTTAAGAAATCTCTAATATCGTTTGGTTGTTGCGACCCTTTTTTCGCCACTCATTAGCTGAGAAATGTTAAATTGAATAATTTTTAAATCTATAATGATTTCGCAAAGAGTTTCATGACCAATTCGTCAATATTTCAGAAATCCTTTGTCATAAGAGAATCCATGTTCATAAAATTAGACTTTAAAAATGTATATTCACACACACAATAGAAGATAATTTTAAACATGAAAACATAGGATGCAACAAACCTTTAACTTCTCTTAAAAATTCGTATATTAAAGTAATTGGCCATCAATTAGTGATTTCACTTTTGGTTTGCATATCTTTTTATACTAATATTTAAGCAATCTTTTGATATGATTTATTGATGTAAGATATGTAAGGCATTTAAAAAATTTAAATTTCATCACATTTTAACCCCGTTATTCTTATTATACAAGATTTTATGTTAATTAAAGTTTAAATTTAAAAATACATTTTAATTGTTTTGTTATAGAATATAATCTTGTAATGGAATTGATATAGATTTCAAATTTCATCTCCAATTCAAATTTTAAGTATTGTGTAAATAATCGTTTGTTTTATTTTTTTGAATATAATAGAAAATAAAAGTACATCCAAACATTTACAATTTTGATAGTATAATTGTTCTTTTGTTTAAATTTAAGTTTTTTTAAACAAAAAAGGTTTTAAATTCAAAAATATGGTTTAAATTTTAATTAAATCAATCAGTTCATTTACCTGTATAAAAATAATGTATAATTTAGCAATCAATAACTAAAAAATTAGATTAGAGGGATAAAAATAAAAGAATTTAAAATGGGACCTATATATTTATTGCATTTTTTGATTTGTTGGAGTAGTTTCAAGAGGTTAGAGTTTCTATTATCGGGAAATGAGGTTAACATTTGACACATCCTGGACAAGTTTTTTTTGCCACCGAGTCAAGTTGTTAATTTTAGGATTCCAGCAATGGCTGGCTCTTACACAAAAGAGGGAAAACCATCTAAGATATCAATCATTAAATTATATTTAAGTATTTCGATTCTCTGATTTGTATCTAATTTAATAAATAATCTTTTGGAATTTTAATGATTTAAGAGAAAAATTTTGAAAAATGGCGAGCGTTCGGGTATAAGTGCAACGCATCGGAGAACCTACCTAGCCCGTTTAAATTGAGCATTAAGTTATTTTGAATTATAAAATATTCCAAAAACACGTTTTTAAAACCATCTGATACGTAAATGTTGTCGTATGGGGATTCGGAATCTTGATTTTAAATCCTTTACCGAGGGCAATTTAAAAAAATTTGAAAATTTCAAAAATAACGTTTCCCCCCCCCCTTCCCCTCCCTCATAAATCTTATTTATGATTCAAATTTTTTAATTTTCAGAACACGATAGCAAAAGAAAATATAAAAATTGTCATTGTCAACCTTTCATCCAACCTATCAACGATGTGGCATATGGCGATAATTCTAATTATCCGACTTACTACCAAAATAAATGTAGAATAACGTCTCCGTCACACCACTGCATGTGCAATAACAACAAATCTTTAAATAACGAAGTGAGTGACAACAACCCCTGTTACGTCGATCACGACGATATTAAAGAATACAACTCCCCGGGAGGACAAAACGTCAGATTAGTGGAGACGTTTAAATCACCTAAGCCAGCCTCCAAAAATGATAAAATCGAGAAAGTTGTCATCGCCAAGAAAAGTACGCTTCGCGACAAGTTTACCCTCTTAAAGCAACGCAAAAAGGATGCGGACCATATGAAGAACAAAGGTTTCAAAAAGTTTTCCAGCCCCAACGATAGCAATAATAATTATAAAAACGGGTTTCTCGATAATTTACCAAAAAGCTCCAATTGCCAACCCCCGCCATCCCTTACCAAGACAGGTGATCAGCGTGATCGCCAGAACAATAACTCCTCGCTGTACGAAGTAGTGCTGGTTAAGCAGAATAACGAGTTGGGGTTCAGCGTTGTAGGTGGCGGGGGCCAATACGGAGAAACAGCACGACCCAATAACGTTACTAATAATGTCTGCAAATATTGCAACGGGCACGTGATCCCTCCCCTAAATTCGGGAATAATCCACGATTCTAAGACGTTAAACGGTGGCGTTTACGTGAACAAAATTTTGAGAGCGGGTCCAGCTTACAGCGTTTTGAAACCGAAAGATATGATAGTGTCGGTAAACGGGATAAACTTTGCCGGCCTCACGCACGAACAAGCTGTCAAGATTTTAAAATCGACGGATAACCTGGTCAAAATGAAAGTCGTCAGAGAGAGCTCACAATAAAAAAAATATTTTTTAAAAAAATGGTAATATTTGAATCATCAATATTACAAAACAAAATTAAAAACAAATTCGGTGATAAGAAAATACTCTTATAATTTATATCGCTATTTACATATGAGATAGCGCAGTCTACCAGATAAAAAAAAAACAATAATTACTCAGTAGATAACTTGAAAATGTCCAATTATCTTCCGAAAAAAAAATGATACTAACCATATATATTTAATATTTATATCTGAATTCTATATTTATCAGCTGTAAATGTATTTTTATTTCAAAATAATTATACATAATTGAACCCTCATTTATTATTTTATTTATAATATTTATTAATTATTTTTTTTTACCTTGTCAAATACAACTTCAATAATAAAAAGAGAAGCCATTTTTTTTATTGCACAAATTCTAAAAATTTCAGCTCGTTCTATAGTATTTTTATTTGTATTTAAATGGGCAATTGAAACTAGACAGCTGGCTACACTAGTTGAAGGGTCATCAATATAGTTAATTTTGATAGATTGCTCGTCATATCAGGGCTAATCCAATGGAATTTTTAAAGATAATTTGTTTCATGTAATATAAGTTTTTAATAATAACTTTAAAATTTAATGAGTGAAGGGAATTTTAAATTTGCAATGCAAAGCATATGTCATAATGGTATAGAGTCACGAGGTCGAAATGGGAGGGTTTTTTTAGCTCGCGATATTAGGTGAGTGAGAGGACGGTTTAAAGATATTTTTAAAATATTGGCCTATTCGAAAAAAAAAATTATTTCATAATTCTATAAGTTTAAGTGGAAAATTACATTATATAAGGAGCAACCAATAAGGAAGCGTTTGAAGGAAAAAACTTGTCCAATTGCAAAACTCTAAGAGATTTTTAAATTTGAAAAATCTCCTTTGAATGGATTTTGATTTCTGACAACTTTCGCGCACTTTTATGCATTGTTTAACTTCTCCGAAATCTATACGTAACAATTGATACAACAGATTAGGTTTTCGATACATGCCGGAATTCAAATAAGGTATATTAATATTTTTCAAATGTTAAAATCGCCCAAGTTGCAAAAATCCGAAACATTATTGGGGAATTAATATTTATTTCAGATAACCTTTATAAAATTTTCCCTTATTAAGTATCTTTTCAATATTGTAAAAGTATCTTTTTAGGCTTAAAGTGTATTATAATTTGTAAGATAAAAAATATATATGATTTTAAAATATTCTATAAGAAATGTGGGATCTTTTCATAATCTGGTCATTGGGCAAATACAAATATTCTTTTCTGAGGTCATATCTAAAACCGATTTATAGTGTTGAAATTCGTATAAAGAATTTAAATTATATATTAAATTATCTTATAAAATATTTAAAATTCAAATATAAACTATTGTTTAAAGATATAAAGAATTTAGACGTATCTTGAACTTCAAATTTGGAAAAATGATTTATTCTGAGACATCACTTAAGAATATATTAGATCTGGCGAAATTTACCTCTTTCAACATGGAAAGAGCTGGAATTTTTTTTTTATATGCTTTCGATTATACTTAGAGAGTGATGTGAAAGCAACTTACGTATTATAGTTTTATTATTAGCATTGTTTTTTGATGTTTATTATTCAAAATACAAATATGTATCCTAAGAAATTTTTGTATTATAATTTCCCTAAAAAATTTGTATTTATAATTTTTAAGAAGTGGATAGAGGAAATATAGATTGTTCCCATTATACTTTTTAATTATTTGAGATTCATAAATATATGATATTTTTATCAGAATCCGGAAAAAATATTTTTTAGAAATCTTCAAATTATTGTTTTTCAATGACATATTGTGATATATCGATTGTTGACAGGCCCGGGGGGATGTTAAAAAAAAATTTCAACACCATAGAACGTTAAGTTAATTGAACACAGAATTGAAATATACGATGATTTTATTTGAAAAGGATGAAAGATGTTAGTATATTTGGTGATACCTGATCCAAACCAGTTGTAAAATATTTGCAATAATGATAACTTAAAAATCTGATCTATCCAATTTTTTAAACAGGCTCATTTTCCTTATTCTGAATCTTGACCATTTTCATTCTTCCACCAAATTAGCTACATTTACATTTTCTCCTTCCTCATCACTATGAGTTTCCTTGGCGCCATTAGGCATTTCAGCAGATATGAAGTTTTTTTAGTTTGAACAACAGTTATTTCTCTCCAATTACATTCTTGCTTTTATTACAATTTATCAAAAAAATATTTAGGAAACAAAGATAAACTTTTAAATAAGGTGGGGATGGTTAAAATGGGGCTGGGGGGGGGAGAACCCCGCCCTCTATCTAAATAGGCTTAGTATCAGGTCTGATGATTGATAGGAAGAATACTTTGCAAGCTATTACTTTGGCACCATGATTTTGTACGAAATACATATGTAAATATGATTCTAAGAAATTCTTTGTTTTAGCCCTGCTTCTCTTCTTTTTTTAGCATCTAATTACATTTAGATTATTAAAAATCTGCTCTCTCTTTCTAACTAATAACCAAAAATCCTTGTGTATTGTCTGTCATTTCTAATAAAAAAATTTGCACATTTATAGCTACACCTCTACAAGTATTACAATATTTTAAAGTTTTGTCTCTAATGCTGTGGCATTACTAGCTTTTACCGTCTCACAGGCTGAAAATTTTTTTTTGTTTAAATTGAAACATTTTCAAAATGATTTTCTTTTTAGGTATTTTTAGAAAAGCCTCTGTGCACCACCTCCCTCTGAGGCTACTGCTCTGCAGCTTTCGTATAATTCTCATTTTATATTAAAATACGGTTAACCAAACTGGCATTATGAATAGTCGTTCCCCACTTATCTGGATTACCTCTTCAATTATCATTTACTAAAATCAGAATACTATTATAGAACAATATAATTACTTATTAATACCATTTTGATTTAAAATATCATACGTATAAATATATAAACAATGTATTATATCTTGCCAGTTTATAGTCATTTTTGGATTCTTTTTCATCTTATAATCACCGTCAATATAGAACATTATAATATAAAATAATAGGAATGGGAAAGAATATTTTTTTAAAATACGCCTTTATATAATCACGACTATATAGAGCACTATAATTCTATACTTGCAAATTAAAACACTAAATATAATAATGTGATTAATTTCTTTAATGTTGATATAGAAGGGATAGAAGAAAAAAAATGCGGAGAAAATATCTAAATTTTTTTGCCAATGAACAACTAAGAGTGAGTTTAGGATATAGACTCGGATGCAGCCTAGTTCTGCAGCCTCCTGGTAAATGTCAAGTGAAGGCATGGCTTCAATTGCATCAACGACACTTTTCAATAAACAAATTATTAAGCCTCCTCTAAAAAAAGATGACGCCTAAAACCTGATCACTGTATCCTGTGCAATAGGCAAATCATTGCAGCATGCTTACCCAGGCAAAGATTAAAAAAATAACCAAGTACAAAATCACTAGCAATTTTATATTCCGGACAATTGCAACTTATACATAAACTGAAAGTTCGCTCATAACACTTTTAGTTTTAAAATTTAGCTGAATTTCTATTCCTTATACAGAACATAATAATAAACATTTTTTTTAATCTAACTAATGTTCCCTTTTAGGAACCTAATTATGTTTTTCTTAAAATTACTTTGGTTTGAAAATTTTTCTATATAGCTTTTTACATTATATTCATTATTGTGAAATCATTTTTAAAGTTTTAAATAATTTTTATAATACGTTCCAATTATTGCACCTTGAAGTACACCTTTATATTTTACAAAATAAATGGAAAATTTTTGAAACTTCGTTAAAATAAGAGATAAATTTATGATTCATAACTCATAAGTTGGCAACTCTCTGATTCATTATCAAATAAACGAGAAATTTCTGTTGGCGATAGTTTTTAATTATATTTATTGATTAAAATGAAGAAATATTTTTTTATTTTAAAATTTTATATAGTTCTTAAATTATTATTTCAAAAATTAGATTAGAAATAAATATAACCGATATTTTCTATCAGATCGTACCGGCACATCTCATTTTAAATATCGGTTATCGGCCGATATTATAAAATTTCGCGATCCGATTCGATAAAATGGCGTAATGGAAATCCGTTTTTCAATAATGTGGATAAATTTAATTAATAAACATTTCCGCCATATTTTTATTTTTTTGAATAGTTATTTTAAAAAATTGGCGATTTTTCTATAAAAATATAACTTTTTAGGTTCGTAGAATACAAATCATAATTGATCATTATAATACACTTAAAATGGCTCTTAATGTTTTGGTGTAGTTAAATTATAGATGCTATACTAATAAAGTTATATGTAGTTGTTAAACACGGTTCGTTTTGAGCCGATGTTTTGATATCCGGGATCGACAATCTGCCGATATCAATTTAATCTCGGAACCGCCTCCAAAAAGCGATATTTAATAGTATATTTGTATTATCTTTTATTTATCTTCATTTGTATACATTTATTATCTTGATAAGCGTTTTTTTAAATTAAATATTTTCGAGGCAAGACAAAGCTAAAAGATGGGGAAAGTTTATCATACGATATTTTTTGAACTGAAATAAAATACTTTTCAACTATTTATCGCTCGCCAATATTGAATAGTGAAGAAATGGGGGTTTAATTTTTTATAAATGATGAGTTTATACCAAACTATGTTAATTTTTTAAAAAAAACGGCAAGTAATAGCAGGCAGGCCATAGCCATAAGAATAATATGGTGCCATCAAGATGAAGCCCAGGTTTTATCGAATATTGTTTCTTCAAACTTAAGAATTTTACTTAATCTTAAAGCATACAAATGAGTTTTCAATTTATATTTGTCATATATTTATAATTACAAATCAAAAAAAATTAGCATATTTATTATATATAAATGTATAAAATAAATTATAAATATGATTGGCTAAACGATATACATAGTTAAACAAATCGCGTTAAAAACGGTAGCCAATTCTATCTTTAATCAATTTAATCTTTAAAACATAATCTAAAAATAGTTTTGATAAAAATCATTGCCTTTTATTAGTTCTTCTGACGTCATTGTATAATTCATCCATAAGGCAATAGGATTCATCATCGATCTGCACAAACCCACCCACTCTGTCACTGTACACGTATTGTGGAGAGTGAATCGAAGGTCCGTCATAGTCGTTGTCGTAGTCGTACCCGAATGGCGAAATATTTTCGTTCTGATCGTCGTACACAAAATCTCTTTCATCAATCTCATACTTTTCGGTGTCTCTCTGCTGTGTGTACCTATTGACATCGTTATTATTAAATTGAGGAGTATCATTTAAAGTATTGGCGTTGTTATAATAATTTCGATTAAAATTATCAAGGTTATTTGTGGTGGGGGTGAAAACGTTGGGTTGGCTGGGAAATCTATTTGTAAGATCATATACATTGCCGAATGCTGCCATCCCACTATTCTGATAGCCGAAATCACTGGGAATAAAATTGTTAGAGTCATTCAAGGAGGGATGATCAAAGAAAGAAGGAGCAACAAACGATGGGTTTTGTGAAACTAACCCGAGCAATAATTTTTGCAGAACAGCGGAGGTAGTGTCTGGATCATTGCCAAGTTGGGACATCATCATCATCCTCATAAGAGCGTTTTGTTGGTCAAACTGTTTAAAATTATTTTGAACCGTTTCATATTTGTTATCTGTCTCGTAATGTTCGTATTTTGGAGAAGCGCCATAATTTATGGAGTTCCTGGAACCTTTCGAAGTAGTTTTGGAAGAGCTTCGGGAGGATTTGTTAGAAGATGTTGATGAAGAGGATGATGAAGAGGGAGATTTGTGAGGAGATTCTGTGGATCTGTGTGGCACAAGATGAGGCGAGTCTTGCCTTCTATCCACTTTAGATAATTCTTTAGAGTCAGTCACGACATTGGCCTGGTTATCTTCAGTAAATTTGGATTCAGAATCGCCGGTACTATTAATCGTATTGTCCTGAATTTCTTTAGGCATCAATTTGGATGATTCTTCTTCGGTGCGTAGTTTCTTGTTTTTCTTGCTGTTAGAACTGCCCTGTCCAATTTTAGCTATATTTCCTTCTTCGAGTGATTTGTTTAGCAAACGTTCTAATTTGTCCTTTTTGGCACGTTTTTTGAGCATCTCGAATTTCATATACCTTTGTAGCAAGGAGGGAGCGTTTGAGGTGATGGACGTTGAAGCAGAGATATTTTCGGGGGCTGATGAAGGCTTAAGGCTTTGCTCAGTGGCCGTTGTCGATGAGGTCGATTTGTTGAGGGCGGAGATCTGCTTATTGTCTAAGTTGATTAAAAAGATTAATTATTCTTATTATTGGGTGCGACTCATAAATATTTATGTTTTAAAAAAAATATAAGTTTTAGGACCCATGGATGCCTGTATCCTTTTCCCAAAAAAAACTTGGAGACTCTTTTCGTTTAGCAAGCTGGTCAATAGCTCCGCTAACTTTTCGTAGTTTCCTTTTAAACGACTCGTTATCCTTGTTTCATTCTTTAAATTTTTGCGCATGGACATTATGCTCTCCCCTAAAACGTGGTTCAAACTATACGCGGATTCGAGGGCGGATCGAGTGCTAGACGCGGAATCAAAAGAAAACATGGAAGAGGGTGTAGGGCGAGAAGGCGTTTCATTGTGTTGCGAAGTAGACTGAGGAACGATTGGAGGTAAAGCTGGGAAAAATATTTTAAAAATGTTAGTTTTTCGTGGTTCGTAATTATAACGGATAAATTTAGCATCTTTAAAAGAAGTGAAAAATAATTCAATTACCTAAAAAATATCTCCATAATTAGATATAGAAAAATGATGTTTTTGTTCGTAAAAATTTCTTAGGTCATGCCATGTCAAATCGATCACTATTTTCCCAATCCCTTCGGGGCTTGGAAGTCATACATAACCTAACGCAATATGGCGTCCTAGCATTTTGAACGTATTAAAAGTCAAAAAATGCGTTTTACGCTTATCTATTACCATTTAATAAAAAAAATATTAAATAGTGATTTTAATATCGCAATACAGAGTTTCTTTGTCTTAAATAATATTTTACACTTTTGTTATTGTAGTGGTCCATTTAACCCCATTCTAAAGTTTAAAAATCCTTCCAAAAAATAATGGGTTTCTCAAATTTTCGTAAAAATTTTATGCGAGTGTCACTAAGACCAATCGTATAAAAAAAAATTGGAATGTCAGATTTTCCTCTTTAATAAGGGAAAATCGTTAAAAACAAACACATGGGAATCTTTAAGCTTATAAGTCAGAGGAGTCCTGATCCAAAATCTCAAGAGAATTTAAAATTAAATAATAAAAAATGAGCCATCAACTTATTCGCTCTTAAATTTCAAATTAATCAATGATTCATGACCACTTCCATATGATCAAGAAAACTTGTATTTATTTTTATAAAAATGCCCTTATTGGCTAATATTTTCAAATATTTTTAAAGTTATAATTATCTTGTATATTTAATAGGGCCGCAGAGATCCACAATTTTTTTTTCTCCCCCATCTGGTATTTGCCGATACTTATTTCAAATGGTAACGATACCAATCCGATACTGAAATTTCCATTCATTTTTTTTGTCATTAAAAATCTGTGAAAGCGATTTAATTAGAATATTCACTTATCCAGTCTTCAAAGCTTTAAAATTCTAAAAAATGTGTCTTATCTTTAAATTTGTAGATAAAGGGTTTGCATTTATAAAATATACAGTAAATAATGTCTTATTTTCTTGAGTTATAGCCCTTAAAGTATGATTATACACATAATCCTATATTATTATATTTTTTTAATGACTATCAGAATTTTCACTCATCTATTTTAGCCTTAATGCAGATAAGTATAAATAAATATGCTTAGCACACTATATATAATATTTCATATTAAATTTTCTGCATAAAAACTATGTATCTTTGTTTGAGTAAAAAGTTAGAACAAATTAAATATCAATTAATAAAATAATATTCAATAATTAAATCATAATATTATATATTTTTCTTAACAAAGATAAAAGCCTCAGGTTTATGTAATAATAAGCCCTAAGAGGGCAATCTAGATATAACCAGCTGTGCTGAAGACTGATTCTGATGGAACACTTGTTGCAGAAGATGCCAAAAGTGCAAGGTTTGCCAAAGTTAAAAACCTTTTGAGCATCAAATCTCAAATAATAATGAGAATCGATCGGAGAATAAAATATTGATATCTTATAATTAATGTAATTAAAATTCACATGATTTTTATTTACTATGAGTTCTTTCTTAATAAAAAAAAAACAATGGAATAAAGAATACACAAATATTTTGGGCAATTTTTTCTGTTCAATAGTTTCTTTATTCGAGTAAATATAACTAATATTTTATATTCAGTTGATTTATACAATTTTCATCTTCTATAGTTAGCCTTCCTTCATAATTTTTTTTAATGGGAGTTATGAAAATTTATCATGAAAGAGGGAATGTTCAAAAATATTTATAAAAATCGGTTAATTAATTTTTATAAAAATTGGAGGAACACAAGGATTCTAAACTTTAGAATGGAATTAAATAGAATCGTCACATTAAAAAAAAAAAAATATTAAAAGATTTTTTAAAAATAAAATGTATAATACACTTCTTTTGATATTAGAATCATTATTTATAATTTTATAGTTTTTAGTAAATTGAACACTATTAATCAGGTTCGGGCCTAATATTTTTAAATAAAATTCGGGCCGGGTCGGGTAGGGCCTTGGAATTTTTTTAAAATGTATAAATTTATCAATTTTATATTGAATTTTTTATGTAAAATAAAAATATTTGATTTTATTTACAGAACTAGACGCCATATAACTTATGTCTTTAATTTGAGTAATTATAAAAAATTAATTTCTATATTTAAATAAGTTCAGGCCGGGCCGGTAAATTTTCTTAAAAATAAATTCGAGTTCGGGCCGGGCCGGAAAAATTTTATAAAAAAAAATGAGGGCCAAGCCCGGCTTGAAAAATTAGGCCCGGTGCCCATCACTAATGTGCACCTTTATCTGTATAAAAAAATTTAAGCCAAATCCCAAGGGGTCCAGAGAAAAAAAAATCATTTCTTGATGGATACCCTGTTTAAATAAATCGCTTTTGAATGGAGTAGATAATCAATCAGGTAGATATTGTTCATAAGAACTTTTAAAAAATATGCTTAAAAAATTGGCGGAATAAATGAAAATTTAAAAAAAAAAACCTCGATACTTTTCCAAGATGTCTGCCACGGTGTCGAGGATTGGCTGATCCTTGAACTTCCTCGGCATTTTGTCCTTCCAATAAGTGATGGAATTCTTGACTCCTTCTCCTTCTTCCCCATCTCCGTTAGTTTCCTGATCGCTATTACCGGATAGGAAAGAGAGTCCCAATTCATGATATTCGCTCGTTAAGTAACTGTCGTAAATACACTTTTTGGCCTTGGCGGGTAATCTCACGATACCGTCTGGTGACGTTTTCGCGTTTTGGACGAGAAACGCTAGAAGGCTTTCGAATAAGTTAGGCCTGGATTCTGACTTATTTTTCAAGCCAAAAAATTTTTAAAAATGAGTTGAATGATATATTTCCATCTAATGTAAATTCGTGCAAGGTGGGAGAGGGGGGGGGGCATATTTAAATAAAATAGATTCTGCTATATAACATATCCTCCATTTCTTATTTTGATTTATTTTTCTTTGATCATATAAAAAACCAGATTTTCACGTATCGCTTTTATCACTTTAATATTATTGTTAGATTTAATGAATTCTCATGTTTTGAATATTCATCCATTCAAATTTCATTGCTACGGTTAGTGTTGTTAAACGGATCGATTTGAGCCGATTTTTAAAAACGGCTAACTCGATATTTCGGTCGGAAAAAAATTGACTATTATCCTCGAGATTTCGCCAACAGATGTCCGAAACCTTGTGCCATCTATGACCAAAAATCTTCAAGCTTGGGTAATATTATTCTGTATAAAATATTGAGTCGGCCGTTTTTTTAAAATAGGCTCGAATCGAGTCGTTTAACAACACAGGGTTCTGGAATGAACTAATGAAGAAACAGGGGTAGGTGCAGCCATGGCTGTTAGCAGCTATGGTAAATAATTAATAAAAAAAATGGATTCTATCAAAGTTAAGAGCATTGGAGACAATAACCAACCTTTAAAACTATTTCTAATATGAAATTAGTAAACAAGGTAACTTATTCTTCGTCATAAATAAAGGCAGTTGAATAATTAAAGGCTTTATTATATTAATTTTATTGAATTATCAGTAAAATAAAGAGTTAAGTTGATAAAACGTATATCATTCGCATTACGTTACGTAATAACCTTCTTTTTGTGATATTATTGAACAAACTATATAATAATTTCAGAAATGAAACTTTATTTGTTAAATTTCTTATTATAATATGATATAAAGTAACATGAATATCAATATTTTTCAGAAATCAATTTTATAATATTATATTTAAACGTTGGTGCATACCAAATAAGCCACATAATGGTCTTTGCAGCTCAGGTGGTCGATCATTTGGTGGGTAGATAGTGAGGTCTTGTTTGAAAACCCAGTGTCACATTTCAAGCATATCCATTTACTGTATTTAAAAGAGGCATCTTCAGTATTGCATTCATCTATGGGAGTTATGTATTCTTGCCCTTGGAATTGATATATTTGTTAAAAACTGGTTATTGTCAAATGAATGTTAGTGTTATATTGTGATTCAACGTGACATTAAAATCATCCATTTTGAACAAAGTATTATAATAAACCATTCCATTTGGTGGATTTGCCTCTGAATTAGAGTAAAAAATATTTAAAACTGGAGGAAGGGGGTGAATCTTGACCTGTCGCCAGTAAATTACTTTGTTTAGTAAGGATGTGGGTAAACACCAAAATTGTTTAAAAAACTCAGCCTTGATGTGGCAAGAAAAAAAATACAAGTCTCAAGGCTTAGATATGTTTTAGCTTGTGGGTCTAATGAGGAGCCAAATTGGCAGATTTTACAACTAATTTGCCTAATTCTAATTGGTAAAAGATATATATAACTATTATAAACCTATCAAAAGAGTTCCAAATAACTCAGGAGGTACATGTTTCATATCCAAAGTTTCATGACTATATTTTTTGTACAGTCCTTCTATTCCATCTTCTGATATCAAGCCATGTTTCAAATAGTTTTATAAATTATATAAGGAATTAATTTTTATTTATTGATTTATGAAATAATTTTTTAATAATTAATGAAAATATTGAAAAGGAGAAAATTTATTTATGGAGTCATTTTAGTCCCAAATATTATAAAATGTATCCTATACCATATATTGCTTGCTTTAATTAGTTGATTTTCATTATAAAAATTATTACAAAAATTTCAAATTTAATGTTAATATTCTTAAGATTTTAAAACAATTATACTTGCTAATATGTATATTTATGTTAATTAATTTTAAATTAAACCTCATAGTGCACTAATTATATATATTTATAAATAAACTCTTTGAACGTGTATCAGGGGGAAAAAAATAATTTTCCCAGGTTTTAACAATTTTATAAATGTTTTATTACCACCAATTATTGTTTTGATAGCAAGAACCTATAAAAATTTATATGAAATAATAATATATAATAAGTATATTATGTAATATTTGAAGAATAAACATTATAGAAAAAAAAAATATGCAAAAGATTAAACAATTAAAAAATCAAAGATGTTTTGTGATAAAGGTAAAAATTTATTAGATCTAATATTCACAAATATACAAAGGCTAGACTATAAATATGTGAAAGATGACACTGGAATATCTATTTTATTTTCCCCCTAGATTATAATAAGAAAATATTTCTTTTTATAAATTAAAAATTTTATTTTAAAAAAGGAATGACAAGAAATATTTTGACTATAAAATATTCTTACAAAAATTTACATGTAGAAATTAACAAAAAATATTTATGTATATATAGATAACCCAGTTGTGTTGAGATTCATTCATGTGGTTATCGTTTGCATTATTTTTGGCAACGTAGTAACATACCTTGTATTAATTTTGCAAAATGTGTATATGATATGGTAATTACTTCACAGACATAGCAATCTAAAATTTTTTGTTGAAGTTTATGATAGTCCATCTTATAATGCATATCACATTCCTATATAAGAGTTTTAGTTAAAGAACAAATATATAACAAACCTTTAAACTTGAAAAATTAATCTTGCATACAAAACATTTAGGCATTGTTTCGACTACCTATGAATTTGTCGATGTAAAATATTCATTCCAAGTTGTCAAATAATATAATCGTCGTTTTATATGACATTGACATATTTAATTTTGAAACTTTCATAATTTATTTAATATATATTCTATTGATTTTTATTAAAATATATATGCAAATATTATAAAATATTATTTAAAAATTAACATGGAAGGTGTAATATAAAGTATACGGTAAAATAAAAAAAAAAGATCAGGTGGCGAGGTCGGGCCAAGATGTTTTAAATATTTGATATTTAGATTTGATTAAAGAGATGGCTATTTTCTACTCGAGTTAATAAAATTGAGAAAGGTATGATTTTTTGATTGACTTGTATATTATTTTAAAGAGATCTAATGCCGCTGGTTCAAAAGAGCAGGTTGATGTAGCTGCTATGGGAACAAAGTGGTTGTCACACATTAGGTGCGAATATTTTTGATTTTTTAGAGATTCCGCTCTATTAAGGGGATTATGCAAATTATTAGATGGGGCCATGAGATCAATGCAGGTAAAATCCCACATTAAAGGCTTTCCCATTAAAAAAGGTACGATTGTTTTGCCGTCAGGGCGTTTTTTATCTAGAAAAGATGTAGGTTCTAAAATACAAGAAGAATTGCTTTTATTTAAAAAAGAAGATATTATTGTATTTATTTTATCATGTCGGCATATTTTTGATATAAATTTACACTTGAGAGCGTGTCTCCCATACGCTGCCGATTGATTGCATTTAATGCAAGTATATTAGTTTAGGAAAGGTACGCACATAAATTGATTGCATAAAAATTTAGATTTTAATTAAAAAAATATGAATTATAGAAGCATAATTCTTTACTTTGGATTAATTTATTTGGTACAAATGGATTTATTCTTTCCATCATTATTTTTTAGTTATGATGTAAATTCTCAGTTTAGTCAATATTTTTTAGATTTTTGGGATTTTAAAAATATTTTATTTTTTAGACTCATTTTGTGTAAACTAACTTATATAAACATAAAATAAGAAAATATTTAAGTTCCCGTCATTATTTTTTGAGTTATGATGTCAATTCTCAGCTTAGTCAATTTTTTTTAGATTTTTGGGATTTTAAAAATATTTTATTTTTTTGACTCATTGTGTAAACTAACTTATATAAACATAAAATAAAAAAAATATTTAAGTTCCCATTAGTATTTTTTGAATTATCATGTCAATTGTAAAACTAGTTTACTTCTATTAAAATTTTGGGACCCTTAAAAGGGCCGTTGGGTATTCGTTGGTGTTGAAAAATTAAAAAAGACCGTTGGGTATTTGTGTATAAATGGTAAATAAAGATTTGATCATAAATAACAATACATTATTTAAACCAATAATATAATTTTATATAGAAAAATTAAGATAAATGGAAACTCATTATAAAGTTTCATATGAAGCTAAGAAGGTTTCTTGTTTGTGCATAATTAATCTTATGATAAGAAGGTTTCTTTCTTGCACATAATTAATCTTACATATATAAATTATTTGTAAAAGCCAAATGGATCGATAATTGTTAAAAATATATAAATTTATTATAAATATAGGTGGATAAAATATTATGTAAATACAATTATTTCGAGTACCGTATTATATAATAATTACTAATTTATCATTAAGTTTAATATAATCTAAATAGTAATTAAATTAGACCCCTTAATTTACTTCATATCTTAATTTACCCAAGATATAAAATAATAAAATAAGGAATTTTTTTAAAAAATAGGATTAGTGAATAAGAAGTTTGGAATATGACATAGGTAAAAGCTGAATCCGATAGCCATAGTCCTTCATGATAAAATTATTAAATTGTGATAGATTGTTGTTAATAAAATTTGCAGAATAATTTAAAGTAATTGGAGTTGATCATTGTTTTTAAAAGTATAATTATATTCAAAGCAGTTAGAGTTGGAGTAAATTAGTTAACAGAATTTATGTGTATTTGTATAATTACTGATTCACGTTGTTAATTTTGTCATATCTATTAACATTGCAAATTATAAAAAATTTTATTTTAAAGGTAATAGTAAATTTTTTGTAAATATGAAGAGTCTTAAATTAATAAAATATTGGGAAATTCAATATAATACTATTGGAGCGTTGTTAGTATTATTTATATGGATTTGTAGTTTAATTCTGGGTAGAATAACTAGACGGAATAGAACGTTGACAATAGAAGGAAATAATGGAGAAGTGTATGTGATGAGGAAAGTAACTTGGTTACCTGTACAAGAATTAATAAAGGGTTAGACTGATAGTGATATATTGGGTTTACAGGAAAATAATTTATTAAATAGACCTTCTGGTGGAGATGTATATAATAAATATGAATACAAAAATCAATTATTGAGACCGTATGGGGCAAAGAAAATTTGTTTAGAAATAGAATGGAGATAAAACCGAGATAATTCTCGAGGGAGGGGAGAGATCACTTGTTATAACTGTGGAGAACAAGGGGATTGTCAGGATGCGAAATGTTTTGAATGCAATAAATATGGTCATATAAAGCAAGAAAAATTGAGATGAGCTGGATGCGGAAGATTTGGTCATAATAAAGAAGATTGTAATGTAGATAAATTTAATACAAGAGGTGGTTTTCCATAGAGAGGAAGAGAGCAACAAAATACTCCCCAGGTGAGAACTTTGGAGAATAAAAGTATTGAAGAAATCATTCTTTCTTTTTTGAAAAAAATTAAATAAAAACGGTATTAAATAATTAGATCGTATAGTCTTTAAGAATAAAAAAATATAATTAAATAAAGGAAAAGGTGTGTAGAAATTAGTTTAATAAAAAATATAATTAAATAAAGGCAAAAGTGTGTAGAAATTTGTTTAATAAAATAAATAATTAAATAAAGGCAAAAGTGTGTAGAAATTAGTTTAATAAAAAAAATAATAAAATAAAGTAAAGTAAAAGTAGTTAGAAATTAGTTTCAAACATAAGAAGAAGTTATATTTAAAGTGAGGAACCACAACAATTGTAATCTGAAAATGGACAAACTAAATAAATTTTCCTATATTTTTAAAAATTGAATTATTACATGTTTAACAATTATAGATACTCCTAGGTTTTAATTCATATATTTAAGATTAATAATATTTTTATGAAAATTTATAGTGAGTTTCATTTTATCTTAATTCTCTAAAATTATTTTTAATAAGATTTGTGGAATATTGCTATTTTTAATTGGTTTAGAGATTGAATTATTATTTATTATCATATCTTTAATTAACATATATGAAGAACTCTTTTTTAAGACAAAAATATTCAACGATCTTTTTTAAGACCAATAAATAGCCCTTAAATTTTAATTAGAGTAAATCAGTTTTCCGATTCAATAACATTTATAAATTGTTGCATTTATTTTAAACGAGTTTAAAAATAAATTTAAAATCCCAAAAAACTTTAAAAAATTGACTAAACCTAGAATTTGACATCATAACTCAAATAATAATGAAGGAAACTTCAAATTTTTTCATTTTAAGATTATATCAGTTTGTACCAACTAAATTAATCAAAAGTAAAGAATTACGCTCCTGTAATCCATATTTTTTTAATTAAAAACTAAATTTTTAGTTTATTACGCCATCTAACAGAAATATATTTATGATTTGTAAAATTTATTAATGGGTGTTATATTTTCTATTCAACATATCTGTTCTAATATTTTAAATTCATGGACTACAATTTCTTCTATATACTATTTTATTTATTTAGATAATTTTAATTATGGATAATTTTGATGTTTAAAATAAAAACATTTTATTTATATTTTTAAAATAACATTTGATAGTCTATAAAAATAAAAATAAATTTTACCTGTCAAATCTCAGTTTCGATTAAGGATCAGCTGAGGGAATAGAGATATTACATTTATAATTAA